GACTGCGAATGGCTGTGCGTGCGCCGCGAAAGAGACTACTTTTTGCGTTATTGCGCGAAACTCGTGTGAAATGCTCGGGTGCGAGAATTTTTCGGTGAATCGCACCGTTGCAGCAGCAGCAGCTCCGATCGCGTCTTTTATTTTTCTGACCAACTCGATTCGGAGTATATAACGATGGATTATCGCTCGTCAATATTGCACTCATGGATGAAGAAGACATCGCCGATGTAGCTCTATCCGGTCATGGATCATCGTCCCGCCGCAGCTGTAATTACTTGCAATTTGTCACTGAGATGAGCGCGAGGCAATATTATAAAATAACAATTCGAATGAATCAAACGCGCGGCGGACTCGACGCGGTGTATTATAATAGCCGACACATGCGGCAGATAGTCGTCAAGGCATATTTGTTAGTGGGACGATGCTATACGGCTCGCATATTACGTACGTGTACGTGTACATGTGTGTGTGTGCGCGCAGGTAGAGAGAATCTCTCTCTCTCTCTCTGTCGGGGACGAGGAACTACAGCTCGCTGAGCACACTCCGCGCTTCTCATGCATTATATCGTCCTCTCTCTCTCTCTCTCTCTCTCTCTCTCTTTTCTATGTTGTTGTCCATTTACGTATACAATACGTCACATGATTTTTTTTTTTTTTTTCATAAAAATGTTCCTCATTTTTTGTTTCAAATTTTATCGTCGGCCTTGTTCGCGCTCGCGCGTGCGCAAAAAAAATACAACAATTGTTTCGCTTCTTCGTCTTTTTTTTTTCTTTATCATCGTACGAACATCGTGACATTCCCACACAGACGTACGCTTTATAATAGCGAACGAGGTAGGTAGGTAGGTTGGTAGGTGTCGTCTTCTTTTCTTATACTTACGCGGTGGCGGCGGCGTCGGCAGCGGCAGTCCAGCGTGACGGCCAGCGAATATAAGACATCCCTGAGCGCACTACAGGCTCGATCCACCTACTATCTCATCTGACATGGGAATCAGAGAGAAGCTCCGATGTTTACGTGTGTGTGTGTGTGTGTGTGTGTGTGTGTGTGTGCGTGCACGTATATGTACGTACTTGCATGTGTGTGTGTGTGTGTGTATCATTAATTACAGACTATAATACACTTGGCAAGCTATACAGTTTCAACGAGAATATTCCACTTCTCGTTTTTTTTTCTTTTCTGTCTTTTTTCTCTCTTTTAAAGTCAGAGAGACTTTTTTTTGTGTACGTAAGCGAAAAAGGGAGAAAAAATCGCGAGAGATAAAGGAGTTCGTTGCACTCGCGGACCGCAACCATCGATCAAAATCGCGAAACAATTACACGACGGATCGATTCTGTATTACAGTCGTCGGATCGCTCTGTGTCGGGGTACCGCCGACAAGTGTTTAATTAATCGATCATCGAATTGTTGTTGGTCGCGTTGTAATCGCGTACACGCGTACGTGTGTCGAAGTGATTAATCGTCTTTTCTCAGCCACAAATGTTTTCTATACGTATACGCGTACATTACACGTGTGCCGTACGTAGTACCCCGAGTGCAGCAGCGGCGGCGCAATTGCATATATCACCTTTCTCAGCCGCACACGTATTATATGCGCGTAATAAACACATCAGCGATGAGCGCCTACGTAAATAAATAAACGAAAAAAGAAATGTCGTTTTTTCACCTTCTTCCTGAACTGCTGCTGCTGCTGCCTATGGTCATTAATCGCGCAGCGGAGCTTCTTCGCGTCTTTCTCTCTGCCTACCTACGTACACGGGCGTAATGTAGCGCACAACAGAATGGAAGCGCGCTCCGTTGGAATCGCATGCGCGCACCGCTCCCATGTTTTCGACGGAAGTTTCGAGCCGCGTAGTGTCGAGGGTGAGCTCATGCCTCTCTTTCTTTCTCTCTCTCACTCGTTTTCTCTCTCTCTTTCTCTCACTCGACGCCGGCCCAGGGAAAAATACCTATTCGAGCTGCTTTTGTCGAGCATGCGCCCTGTGTGCAAGTCGAGCGTCGGCCACTCCACCAGCGGAATGTTTCGCGACTTGTTTATTATCATTATGTGTGCATATCTGTATGTATGCGTATGTATCATGATTGTAATTTATGTATATTGACATTTTTGCGGGCGATGTGTGCACCGATCCCGTATCCCGTGGTGCGTAACTGCACCAGAGAGCGGTCGCGAAAAAAAGGGTTGCAATTTGCCCGTGCACGCAAATATATGTAACGCAACAAATACGTGCATTACTTTTCTTCTCGATGATCGTCGTATTATGTGCATACAACTCGACACGAAAGAGTCTTTGAGCGACGAAAATCGTGCACGGTAGCGATCTCGTAAATGTAGTGTACGTAACGAAGTACCGACCAAGTGTCATTTTGAAAGCGAGACCCCACGCGAGGAGAGACGCGCGGCGCAGTAGCAGGTGTATCAGCGGGGAGTCGATCTGTCAGCGGCGTGTAATACATACACAAATGTATACGTATGGATACGCACACAGGCGCGGCACACATACACAAAAACCCAAAGATGAACAGGTTCATTATAATAATTGTACATTGGGCACGTGTTCACAAGGGAGTCTCTTTCTCTCTATACAACGCTGAGTTTACACACACACATACATATAGATGTAATATAGAGTAGAGACAGGTTAGAGTCGCAAGCTCCACAGTGATTACTTAATGCGATAAAAATGTGTGCTTTGCGGAGAGAGAGGATCGTTTCGGTGCGGCAACGCGAAGGCAAAAGAAAAAAAAACTAAATAAAATCAACGTGCTGCAGCGTGTGTAGTGCAGCGAGTGCCGCGCGCTTATGAATATGTAAAGTAATATTTCCACGATATGGGTTTCGTCTAATATGCCCGCGAGCGCTTCATTGAGTATGCATCAGTGTCGATCGACTGGCAGTGTGCCGCGCCTCGCCGCGGCCAAGGGATCGATATGTGCGCGCAGATATTTTTTCTCTCTCACTTTGGCTCTTTTCTCTCTCTCTCTCTCGCTCTCTCAACCTTGCAATTCCTATGTCATGTTCGGCCTGGCACTCATTAGCATTGGTAATGACGTGTTAGTCGCCACACGATATGTGACCTATAGCGCGCGCGCGCGCGCGTATACGCTCGCGTAAAACGAGATGCTGGCACTTTTGCGAAAAAATACCAGGAGAGAGCTGCCGCTGAGTTTTTTGCCTCAATTCTAATTCCTGGAATATGCGCGCTCGGCGCAACGATAGGCCACTGCCAGCGCGTGCGCTTCTTGTGTATAGCGTGCATGCCTTGCGCTGCAGCAGGTGCGTTTGCTCGTATATAGACCCCGTCCGTTCGTCCGTTCGTCCGTCCGTCCGTCCCCATACCTTCGCGTGCCCGCGCGCTCGCATATGCCTCGGAGGGACATCGAGCAGCAGCGCTCCTTTCGCCGCGTCCCTTTGAATTTTTCGGCACCCACATGTTATGATTGTTGCCAGCTCGTATATGTGTGTACAACGGCCGGGGCTGCTGCTTCGATGCGCAGCGCGCGAACACGTCGTCCGGTTTAATTACTCGAGAGTCGAGTGCAGCCGTGACTCAATCGTACCGCGCGGCGCATACGACGAGGCGCACTAGTACTGTGTCCTCGACGGAGGAAAAATAATCGAAAATAATCCCCGCGTACTTGTAATGTACGCACTGCAATAATTATTATTATGTAGGCCATGTACACGAGTGTGTTCGTAATATCGATGAGCATTGCGCTATACGTATACGTCCCAGCCACGCTACCGCCGCCGCCACGCGGAACCTTTGTCGTCGACTTTTTCGTCGGGCAATTAGCTTCGAGATTTACTTCGCTGCAGTCCTTCTGCTCCCTTTTTACTCGTGCTCGACTCGACGCACACGCACGCACGCACCACACGACACAATATGCGCTGCTGCTCGCAGAGAGTGAAAAAGAGAACATTAAAAATTTGATCTGATTGATGACTCCGCGGCCGCGGCTGATGTATTAGCGATCTGCGCGCACAGTACCCGCATTCTCTGTCTCTCTCTCTCTCTCTCGTCTGTCTTTTCTTTTCTTGCCTCTGGGTTTACGCATTAGCGACCCGCAAAGGTTTTTCTCCGCTTTATAGTTGTAATAATTCAGATGAAATTCGTTCGTTTAGTGCGCAATAAATGAAAAACTACAGCGCTAATTCCTATATTGTGTGCAGGAGTATATTTGAAGAAAAAAAACTCCAAAACAGCTCACAGGGGTATAATGAACTCGTTTTGACATGACGTACTCGGCTCTACACATATACAAGTATTCTTTCCGCTCGACGTTGCTCTCCCTCTCTCTCTTTCTCTGCCTCATCCTTTTCGTTATTATTATATACCACGGAGAAATAGTCTCTTGATTAAAATAACTGTAAAGTCCTTTTTGATTGACGCATCACCAGCAGCAGTGAAGTGCAAAAAGCATCGCGCGCGTACATGCACACACATACTCGGTCCTTTTCTTACGATGCTCCTCGGGCTTATTACGCAATGTGTCTTATGTAGAAGCCACCACGTATAGACATTTAGTGGTATTTTTTTTCAAATTTTTTTTTATTTTTAGCGTTCGATGCGTTGTTGTGATCGATTATTTGGAAAATTTTTAACGACCGCAAGATGCGCCAAAGAAAATTCAATTTTTTTCCCAAAGCGCGCGCGTATGGAGAGGCCAATTATTTGCTTTCAAGCGATACACACTCGTATAGATTTCCGAACACGCGAGAACTTACGTAAGGATTCCAAGTCACGTGTGTGATCACAATTATGTGCGGCTATATACACGTACTTATAGGTGTGCATATTATTTATATATACACGTATACGAGTGCATCGTAGGTGCAATAGAAAAAAGAGCGAGGAAAAACGACCGATTATATAAGTCCGACTGAGAGAAATAACAAAATACGTCCATACCCCCTTGCGACGAGCGGTAAATAACTCGATGCAGCTGAGATTGAGAAAAAAAATTGTTATTTGATCGATTCGTTCGTTTTGCTGTTGCAGGTGAAAATTTGGTTTCAAAACAGAAGGAGTAAATACAAGAAGATGATGAAGGCAGCGCAACAGAGCGGAGGAGCCGGGCCCGGGCAACACGCGGGCCTATTGGCCGGTGGCACAGCGTTACCCGGTGGTCCGTCACCCCAACCCGGCCAGCCCGGCAGTCTCATGCAAGGAGGTAGGTGTACTCTCGATTCGACTCGCTCGTCTCGAGCTGGCGGCGCTGAAAAAGGCCAAGTCGACTAACCGATCGCGCTTCGCTCTTTGCGCTTTGTTGTTGTTCCAGGAGGAGGCAGTTCAGTGTCGGGCAGTCCGACGACGGGTTACCTCGGGGGCATGGGCGGCGCGGGTGGCCACACGCCCGGCAGTTCCAGCCCCGGCAGTGAAATGTCGCCCCAGCACAACGAATCGCCCCCGGCACCGGCGTGGCCCGGCGAGATGAAGCACCATCCACATCCACACGCGCCTCCGCACAGTCATCACCATCCGCACACGGCGGGACATCATCCGCCGCCGCCGCCGCCACCGCCACATCACGCCGGTTACATGCCACAGTACTCGTGGTACCAGACCGATCCCAATCCAGGATTACTCACGTAAGGTTCTGCCAGCTTTTTCACTCCTATTTTCATTTGAAACCTCATATATACGCGCTCGAGTATATTCCATCTAAATCTCACGAAACCCGAAGAAACTTACGATGCGATAGCAAATGTACTAACGTCACCAATGGGTCGTTCTGCTTTTGTGCTTACAGGGTGTGGCCTGCGGTCTAACGAAGTCGTGTAACCTCGTGAACCTTGGACTAAGCGATGCTGACTCGAGTTAGTAAAAAAAGGACACCAGAAGCAACAGCGAGTGATGTGCCCCAAGTGGAAAAGTCCCTCGTATTTCATGGTGGGTGCTCGAACGTCGAACATCTAACGCCGTAAATACAAACTCTGAAGTATGGATAATAATAAACACACCTTGATTGTGTGAAGCGTGATCTCGTGACGACAAACGAACGCGAAAATAAAAACGAAAATATCGTCGGAATCTGCCAGATGACGTTGATAATTTTTCATCGACGTGTACGAATGATTACCAATCGTTAATTGTACGTGTAAATGAGGAATAATCTTATTTATTATTGTGATGACGAGTGAGTAAACAAACACATAGAATTGCCGTTGCTTCTTCGCGTTTTCTTATAAATGATGAATTAAAAAAACCGAATCGGTCCTGTGAGTGGTCATAACTATATAAATATATAAATATAATTATCATACGTGCCGATAATGGCGAGTATGAGTGTACAAAAAGTTTTTTGTCAAAGTAAAAAAGAAAAACATTATTGTCTTGTTTCATAGTTGAATATATATATTATAAATATATAAATAATGATAATAATTATTATAAATATTATACTCGCGCGTGTGTGAGTGTGTATATGTATGTGTGTGTGTGTGTGTGTGCGGTGTACGGCATGTACCGTGATACGTGCCCGTTGTATATATTATACAAAAATAAAAATTGAATAAGCAAATAGTTCGAGCTACAAAACAAAAAGCCTCTTTCTCTTTTTCGCGCGGTGGAACTTCAATTTCGGAGCTCCGCTTCACTATGGTTGCACAAAAAAAAATCACGTTTTTTTCCTCTCCATCCCAAGCTCCGGAGAGAAGAGCTCGAGAAATAATGACATTTTCGTGCTGCTGCGAATGGCGCAAAACGGAAGATACGGCGAGCCGAGCGCGGCGCAATTGCTACACTCGCTCGCTCGCGCGCGCCACCGGAGATGTACAACCGTTGCGTAGTGATTTTTTACGAAACTGCCCTCCCCTCTCATTCCCCCTTTGTCCCCCTGCTTCCAGCCAGAGAAATGATGCTGTATCATTCCGCGCGGAAAAGTCGAAGAAAATCAAGAAAAAAAAGAGGAGTCTCCGCCTTTTTTTTCGGTGCAATATTTTTGTCGTGTAAAGATCGTTTTTTAGTTCCTACCAGTGATACGCTGATGCATTTTTCAGAAAAAAAATCGACGCAGCGCGCCCGTGACGAGAAAGAGATTGAGTTTTATTATGATAATAAATAGAGAAAAAATCATCTGCGAGAGTCGTAAAAATTTTGTCACTAGCGTTTACTACTATAACAGTTCCGACGTCGATGGCGTAAGCATGCAATAGAAATTTTTTTCATGATCTAGAAATCGATTGTACGACAGGAAAAAAATGTTTGTAACTTTAATTTCCGCATATTGCAGCCCTGTAAATATTTCAACAAGTAAATGGATGGATGAAAATCCATCAGTTAATTATAATCATAGTAAAACTCACGAACGAGCGTCGGAACTACCCATGACCCTTTAGCCCCTCGTCTTTTAAATTTTTAGCGAATATATACGTATGATATGTATATATAAAGTAACGATGCATAAGGTTGTAAGTGGATCTGTGTAAAATATAATTGTATTGTGATAAGAATGTAAAAAAAGAATGAAAACTCGACTAGCGACATTTAAAAATTGAAAAAAGTATGAAAGCATGATTCATCTTCCCTGTCCTTCACTATCCTTCTTTTACCAAGAGATGCACCGTCTCTCTTGCGCGAAAACGAAAATAATTCAATTACTATAGAAAAAATGCGAAAACAGTGTAGCCTCATCGACGACGAAAAGAGCGAAAAAGAACATTAAAATACCTTAATTATGATTAAATATTGTATAAAATATGAATAATATTAAACTAATTAATTCAATTAAATTCTTTTGCATTGTTTTTATTTTTGAATCAAATTTATACATTTTCATACCTTTTATCTTACACAATTGAGTGAAGCAATTGTTTGCATCTTGAGTCTGATGCGACTAAAAATAAGTCCAATTTATACACCTGAAAAAGAAAACATGGATTAATAAGTAAGGAAAGGAAAAAGTGACGTCCAGTTCCCTACTCGGCTTTCTTTACACTTGTCCGTAGATCATATAAGTAGTCTTACGTCAAGTGTAATTATATATCGAGAAACATACAAGTCCGAGTCCTACTTTTATATTAGAGGAAAAAATCTACTTGATAAGTATTTTGAATGCTGAATCTTTCCGGAAACGCGCTCGAACATGAAAAAATCAAACGGACGAGCGCGACAAGTGCGCGCAGTCCTGGCAAGTTCTCAAATTGCACATTTTGGAAGAATACATGCGGTTCTAGAGATGGTCAATAGCTCGGCTGCGCACTTCCGACACATGCAGACATTGTATGTCCACTGTTTTTTTTTTTTTTTTTTCAAAATAAGAAGCAAAAAGGAAGCGAAGAGGCGCACCAACGCTTGCGTACTTTATAATACGCACTCGCACATACATACAGGTAATCTTTTCAAGGGTTTTGTGCATGAATGCAGAGAAAAACGACGGCGCCGAGTGAGTACGTATAAAAGAAAGCCCATTATCCATCAAAGCTTTTACACATTGTGTATCTTCTTTGATGCTCACCTCCTCCCTCTCACTCTATTATTTTCGTTTTTTAACTTGCTGCTACTGCTGCTACTACTACTACTACTTGTACTGCTCGTGTTGCCAGGATGAACTTTGTTATGTGTTGTTTTTTCCTTCGTAGGCCCGCGCGGGGTTGGTTGCGTTTTTTTTTTCGGGTAAAATAAAAAGAGTATAGCCTTACCTTCGCGGATGATTCTAAAACCACTGCGCACGCATACCACGTACGTATCGATTACCAGCCGACCAAAATAGAACGCGACGTGATCTAGCCGAGATAAAGATTCGATGGGAAATTTCTCCGTTACAAACACGCGGTGATCGACTTCTGAATGAGATTACGTAGCGGTGATTAGCTGCCAAAGCCGACGAAATGCCCTTAATCGTCGGGCAGGCCGAAGCAGAAAGTCAAATGTAACGTCACGGTGTACACAGTGTTGAGCAGCTCGCGCACATAATAAACTGCTTAGGTACTTTCATTGAGTCGAGTTTAAGGGGCTTGGAATTGGCCAGGCCAAAACACTCGACGCGAAACTCGGCGACAAAAGATCCACTTTAGGCCGCTGCCGCCGCCTTATCGCGTGATCGATACTTTCGCTCTCTTGACTGCTGCTGCTGCTGCTCTACGCCGTAATGCGCATATATTTGCGCTGCAACACATGTACGCGCTCGACTCGCAATTATATATATTGTCGACGTCGTCGTTGTCGTTGCCGCTGCGACGGTTGATAAATCCGAAACGCATACGAGCATGCACGTATGCGCGTACGTTAACGTATCAAGTGCTTAATGTACCTATATAGAATCGCAGGCAATACTCGAGATGCTGCGATTATTTCGTGCGTGTGTGTATACGCGTATACCACAATATATGTGTGCGCGCGCGACATGAGAGACTGAACGAGAAACAGAAAGAGAGAGAGAGACAATACCGGATGAAGTCGCTATGATTCTTGATTGAAAATAATCTGGATCGATCGAGCGCGTAAGACGTTATAATATCATATTAATTGATTTATATGTGTGCGTGTGTGTGTGTGTGTGTGTGTGTGTGTGTGTGTACGACGACTGGGACGCTCGTCGCAGCAACTCGCAGCATAAATGTACGCGCATACGCGCATATATTTGTACTCTTTGACTCGAAATAAAATACGCGCGGCGCGTATACAGGAGTATTATTATTACACATGGATGGGTGAAGGAGGCTGAATACTATAACGGCTACTATACATTGCGCGCCCGTGTGTGAGTGTACGAGGTGCACATACATGCAAAGGTACAGCATCGAGCCGAGAAGGGCGTGGCGAAATGCCTCGCTTTGGGAGGGTTGAAAAGAGAGAGAGAGAGAGAGAGAGCGAGAGAGCTAGTGACATTGTGCGTATGTCTCCCCCGTGCATGTGGCGGCGGCGGCGGCACACCCCCGTGCAGCAGAGAGAAAGCTACAGAGGTATTTTTCGCATTTGGTTTTTCTCTCTTTTTAGCGCAGCGACGCGCTCCGTCGATTCGACTGCCTGAGAATGGAAAATGCCCGACTAATGGCATCGCTCGATACATATATTTCCTATACCGAAAAGTCAACCCTCTTATACGGTTTTTTCTTCTTTTCTTTATATTATACGTTTTTTCTTATTCTATAGTTAAAGAACGGAATCTTAACTGCTCCTATTTCACCCTGTTTTCTTCGCCAGCTAGACTCGAAAAAAAGGACGATCGTAACAATAAAGGAAAAAAGTCGTGCCCACACATCCCTTAGGTACTTACCTTCCGCGGGGTGATACGCGCTAGACGAGTTCTCTACAACACTGTTGTGCGTTGTTGAATTATATCGCGCGCGCATACACACGGGCACGTGGCGCGACAGCAGCAGCACACACACGTACACAACCCCTTGTACATACAGTCTCGAAAAAAAAAAGGTAGAAATACATTGGGCGGGGTGGCTGTTTTGTACCGCTGCCACCTGGTCAAGATCCTGCATGCGAGCTTCGAATTCGTTTTTTTTTCTCTCTCTCTTCGTTTCAATTCCATTCCGTGTGTGTATGCGTATGCTGAACAACCCCCTTCGTTACGTCCAAGTGCGACACACACACACGGGACTCGAGACTGACCAAAGTCTTGAGAATTCGTGAGAAATTATGCTATCGATCCTCGTCGCTACAAATTTATACGAGGTATACGTATGAGTGCCACACATAACAAGGACGTATAATATCTATGATTGGCCATTGTGCGCGAAGATGAACTGCCACCGAGCGAGCGAGCAGGTACTCGAGAGGCTGTGTGCTCAAGTATGTGTGTGTACGCACTTGAACCTGTTGATCGGGATTATTGACTTTTTGTGGGACTTTATTGGTTCCCATGGTGT